TGCACAAAGCAACTTCCCTGAGGTCACACGATCATTAAGCAGTGGAATGGAACACTAAAGACACAGCTCACCTACTCCACTGACACAATCCACTCCACCACCCACTCACAGTTCACACCAGGAAGAACTCTTTAGGAAACAGCAAAACGGAGGGAATAAGCACAACTCCAGATAGCCAATACCCACATACTGCATAGGACCATGACCTAGGCACAGACCAGGATCAGGTACCAAGTGAAATCAAGGAAAGATGAAGCTGACTGTGCATCCTCATCAGTGATGTAGCACTTGCATGGTTTGCACTGCCGACACCCAGCTGGACGATGTCTCAAGCCCCTTGGAAGGTAATTTCCCCACCCCCACTCAGGGCACTTGGCCAGTTGCAGACCCAGACAGGACAAGAAAGTGGGTTGGGCACCGCATCTCTCAGCTCAAATGTCAAGTCCAAGAGAGATGGCCAAGGACTTCATTCATCTGACAATAGGAACGAGAGCCAAAACAGACAAATTTTATTGATGTTACTGACATGCTGCTTCCCTCCCTGAAAAGGGCCTTTTCTTTCCCAAACGTTACTATTTTTTTAAATGACACCCTGTGCTGAAGGAAGAGAGAGATAGAAATTCAAACTGTAGTGGAAAACAAAACCTTACCAAGCAAGGCTGAGATGGAAATAATTCCTCCAAGGCTATGCTAAAGCTCTATAACTACATGTCAAAGCTCTTCCTCACAGCCTCTACCAGTGCTTGTAAACACAACCCTAAGAAGGGTTCACACCTAAGAAGGGTTCACAAATTGCCATGGATGTAGAACTGGACTCCTGAGTTTTGTTCGAACTACTAAACCATCCATTAAGACAAACAAGCAAGGTACTAACTCGCATCAAATGCACACATGCTTTTTAAAACAAGGCACCGATATTCAGCACTGCCTTCTCTGGAGGGTGGCAAGGGTGCAACAACCCATAAAATGAGCCATGGGAAGGCTGACCCTCAAACACCCCGCTTGGGTTAAAATTCCACCTGAGGCTACTGAAAAAGCCACAGGCATCTCTCCTTGGAGTCCTAATCAGAGTTTTGGCCACCAAATTACAGTGCCCCTGTTTGTCATTTCAGAGGAGAGGAGGGTCAATAATTGTTAGCACTGACAGTGGCCCATTACCTGGTGAAGAGCTCCCCTTCTAGCAGGACCATGTATGGAGGATGGGGTCCATCTGAAAGCACCCACTTCAGGTCCTGCTCCTTCTCAACCACATGGATCACTCCTGTATCTCCGTTAATAGAGGCTGCAGAGAGACATGCACAACATCACCATGTTTCAGTGAAATCCATTTCCCTCAAAGCTGTACACCTCCTGGGTATTGGAAGGGAGGAGACCAGAAGGCAGTCTGAATTAAACCATGGCTCACCCCAAGGCATGGAAGAGCTGGAGAACCCCTCTACGATAGCTTATTTGTTAGACCATGTGCATTTCCATCCTTTAACCACAGCAGACAAGATCCACTGTGGGGCAAAGCTTCTACTGAGGAAACAGGATGTTCAACCACAAATCAGCAACGTGCTAACTGGCAGGAAGCCCCTTCACCAACCACAATGTGGAAACCCTTCAAAATCAGCGTTCCTTATTTGTCTTCCTCCTCTTCCCAGCCTAAGAAACCCCAAACCTTGACAGCACACAAACACACACATGCACAAAGTCAAAACTAAACTAAGCTTATAACCTATCTAGTTTTAAAATACTAGCCTAGAGAGATGAGAGGAAAAGGAAGATGCCCAACTGATTATTCTCAAAGCAAACAGTTACATTATATTACTCTTTCAACTGGGTCTGCTTCTGGGACAACTCTGATCAGAAAAGGCATAGGATCTGAGGGTTTCCCATATATTTAAGCTGCACACATGTCTCCCTTATCTTGCATCCTCCCAGCTTAAAGGAGAAGAACTGCTAAAGACAAGTGCTCGGTCATACTTACACTGACAGCCTATTTGATGAGTAGCATTCAAGAGACGAACACATGGGGCAGTCTTATTTAAGGTAATATAGATTTTCCTCTCCACAGAATTACCCCAACAAGAACCTGAAAAGGCAGAACAAAACTGAAGATGAACAGGATGGAGAGCTTATTTTTAGCATTCTTTGACACAATTGTTACCTCTGTCCCTGCCCAAAAATACTGAACGTACATTGACTGGTTTATTTAGGAACACACGGAATAAAAATAAAAATAAAAAAAAAATCAGCAAAGAGCACTATGTGATGATCACTGCACATGCACGTCAGAAACGCAACGCCCCACTAAAAAATGCTTCAGGGGACCATGCCAGGATTGGGAGCCAGGAGCTCTTTTATCCAGAGGCAAGGATTTTTGGGGAGCGATTTCTTTTATTGCACCACCCACTTCAGTGGGACGTTCCAGATAAGGTCACACTGCTCCTATACCCACATTTCCCTCTCTACTATCATGACTGGAAGCAGGTCACTCACCCAGCTTCCTTATTAAAGCCAGTCAGCACCATGTCCAAGGTTCCCAGACAGTTTATTTTACATGGGGCAGCCTTGTCCCCACAAAAAAAAAGAAAATCAACAAACCAAGCAAACATGCAAACGGCAAACCCCAAACTTGCAGCCTTCCTTCAGACCTTGGGAGGTGTGAGACAGGCTCTGTACTTTTCCCCAGGCACCACCACCTCCTCCCTCTTGCTCTTTGCTCCTGGAGCTCTTAACTCCCTCTCTAGCCCCACCCGCACTTCCTGGTTATCCTTTATAGCTGCTCCCAGCCAGGCAGGCTTTCACTGCTGACTCCCTGCAGCTGGGTCTCAGGCTGAGTTGCAAACTGATCACCTCTTTACAATGACCCTCCTGATAGAGGAGCGGTGAGAATCCACCTTTCACCAAGCCTTTGCATCTTCTGTACATTTTGACCATCAGAAGAACACCTTGCATTCAAAAGCGTGTCCAGCTTTATCCCAACCATGCAGTTGGTCCAATAAGAGATAACCCCCAAAATCCTTGCCTCTGGCATACCTTTAAAATGTCAATGTATTGCCTGTCTGCTTTATAATGCTTCGCAACAGCATCTAGAAACCCACTTGGAGCCACGTTAAGCATGTCGGCTAGTTTGCCACTTTTGCTTTGTATCCACCAAAATCGTGCAGTCAACTTTACAAGCAGGCAGTGCCAGCCCGGCCGGCAGAAGGAAACGCATGGGAGGAAGCACGGGGCTACGCGAAGTTTCACTGGCTGCTTCGTTTCGAGCTTGAAACGAAGCAACGAAACGAAGGGCGTCGAAACGGCCTCGAAACGAACGTTTCGAGTTTCGCAACTGAAGCTGGGCTCGCTTGCAAGGAACCTGCGAGTCACGAGAGCGAGGGGAAGACGCGGTCTCGTATTGAGCGTGGTCCTGCCCTGAGGTCCGAGCCAAGCCAAGTGCTCTGGGGGAGGGAGGGAAAAACAGCACGCAAAGCAGCGTTGTTTGAACCGCCCGGCTTTCCGTCGCCCTCGGCCAAGGGTTTTGCTTGGGGGTCACCTCAGCGAGACTCACCCGAGGCCGCCACACAGAGCAGGATCCCGCGGAGCAGCGCCCCGCCGCCCCACGGGGCGGCTCCCCCCGCCCGCCCGGGCCCCCCCGCCCC